ACTTGTACAATGTTATAACATTTTGAATTTTTACAGGATGGATTATCATTTCGACGCGGAGTTGAGATAGATGCTAGGCAAAGTTATGTGGAATAATAGCTTTGACAGTTTCACTACTGTGTTAGAGCTGCTCAATGATCAACGTGCTGATATGCTGCGTCTGTCTTTCCTGTGGCCCTTGTACCCGTTAAGAGACCTGCAGTACTCGGGTTAGATTATTGATGTACTTCTATGTCGATTGCTGAGTCCAGTCAATGGCGATGCCATCCACTTCGCAATCAGGGGGCAAAGTCGTCAGTTTTTTGATGTTCGAGTTTGCTCTAATCACGGGATTAAAGATTACGGGCGATGAAGCAGCTGATGATGGGACTCAGAGAAAAAATAGGCTTCATGATGCTTATTTCGAGGGATAGGGAACTGTGCTTCTTACACAGCTGTTCGACGCAATTAGAAGGTGTGATCAGATGTTAGACAGACTGAAATTAGGTCTGGTCTACATCCTTGAGAGCGTGGTGCAGTGTCAACACAAGAAGACTGCGATCGACCTCTTCTATCTAGAGATCGTTGACGACATTGATCGTTTCAACGATTATCCGTGGGTCGAAGATGTTTTGAGGAAACTATACACGTCTTCACCAGATCGCACTCGAAGTCGAAGGGGGTCATGCCTAAATACGACACCTACGGATTGCCCCTGGCGGTGCAGGTAAATGGTTAACGTAATGAATGTTAAAAAAAATTTCCTACTGAATTTGTATATAATAATTGTATGTGTTGCAGATCTGGGCGTATGAGACCGTTCCCCTATTGGGTGTCCCGCTTTGCGAGGTGAGGGGAGACACGCTACCCTCGGATGTACCATTGGAGAGCATCTCGATTGGAGGGATGTCCCACTGGAAAATAGTTATCGACTATCCTCGACGATCCTCAGGTGAGTATTATGGATTAGTAATTTATATTATGCGTGATTTAACATCTGATTACATGATCGTTAACTAGTTCAAATGTCAATATGTAAGCTTGAAGTCATAACTGAGTTGACGCCGTCGATGGAGGAGGAGGCTCAGGGTTTTGTACGTGAATTAGGCGTTTCGTACACCTAAGACGACCAGATGTCCGATCTGATCCACGATCGAGATTGGGTGAGCGAATTGAATAAAATCTATTGATTACTGTTTTGTATGAGTTAGCAATTACGGATTAAGCTAATAGTTTGTAATGTTGTTGCTTGTGTAAGAGCGTGATCCAGTTGATCGACGATCACCTCCGCCGAGGGTATTACCACCTTCACCGCCGAGGGCATCTCCTCCGCCTCCGCCTCCCCCGTCCAGGGACCTTACCCGTGGATCTCCCGCACATAGTCAGGGGTAAATTTTTATGATTTGTATGCCCGTCTGAGCGAATTTATAGCGGAGCAGGTCGACGGGTTACGTCTAGAGATGATAGAGAGGGTTGACGATCTGGGACGACAGTTGGTAGGAAAGGTCAGAGATTTGTCGAATAATGTTAGAGTGCTGCGTGGCCATTGTACGGACCTTGAGGATGAGATTGCAGCACTTCAAGGTGATATAGCCGGCATGTGATGGGTTGACGGAGATGGTGATCGAGAGGGTGATAGAGATGGAGGTCACCGACAATCGTACATGCATGGGAATCATTTATTTTATCCGTAAAGCGCGATGGGACGGGAGCAGATGGTAAAGTGGCCTCGTCGGGGACGAAAATGATGGCAGATGGGAAAGTGGCCCCGTCAGGGACGGAGATGGTAGCAGATGAGAGAGTGGCCCTGTCGAGGACGGAGACGATGGCAGATGAGGGGATGGAAGAGGTGGGGAGCCCTGGGGTGGAGGAGGTGGCAGTATATAAGGCAAAAAAGCATGTTGTTAACATGTCGAAGACAGTGGTCTGCAAGAGGTCGAAAGTGTCGCCACCGTATGTCGTCTCTCCCTTCACAGCTGAAGCGAAGAGGAAGAGGTTCATCGACAGGACGTACCCCAATTTGTTCCGGGAGGTCGACCATGCCAAGTGGAAAGCATTCAAACCTGAGTGGCGAAGAATGTTGCCCGAGTAAGTATTGTATGATTTAGTAGACTACCAGAACTCGTATATGCTTCGTTTAACGTTTTCTCTATTTTATTTTCAGAGCCACGCACATGATAGCCGAAGGACGATATCAGACTTATACAAGTGGTTCCATGATATCACCACTCAGGAGGCTTGGCTCGCCGACGATGTAAGTGAAGTGTTATTGTTACTTTTTGTATGCATTATGTTTAATTTGTTAAATGAAATAAGTATTTATTTCTTTGTTTTCCTTGATATAGCACATCGACATGGCCATGAACTTGTTGTGCGATCGAGTTGAGAGATATCCACAATCATTCCACAAGCTTGGTCGAATAATACTGAAAATCGAATTCTTCCGTGCCGTTACCATTGAGTATCAATCGCTCTAACTTCTAAGTAACAAGTACGTGCTTCCTACGTATATGCTCGAGTGGGTCATCGGGCTGTTACCAAGTGTTGGGGGAAAGCCATGGGGGGTTTTACGCACTTATACATTCCAGTAATCGTGAATCAGCACTGCATTGCACTGGAGATCGTGTTCCCTGATTCAACAATATATATGTACGACCCCGATCATTCATGTCTGACACAGGGGCAGCTCGAGCAGAACTTAGAGCCGGTGATTGTGATCGTTCCTTTGATGACTAGACATGCGGGCTTGATTGTGGAGGACAAACTAGCTATCGTGCAGGACACAACGACAGCGAGACAGTCTATATCATAAGTCTTTGTAATCTTTTTTTTTTAATTTAGCAATCAGTTCGTACATAATTGGAACCGAACTAACACATATTCGTTTATTTGCAGGAGTGACTATGAGATTTTCGCAATCAAATACATAAAATTTTTTAATATAGCACATAAGGTTGATGGAATCAACCAGTCATGGATACAGAATTGACGAAATAAGTTAGCGTACGATTTATATGAATTTAATTGTGATCCATAAATTATTTGTAAATATTTTTTTGTAATTAATATTTGTAATTATTTTTTGTGATTATTTGTAACTATTTTTCGTAATTGTTCGTAATAATTCATGTAAATACTATTTATTTCAATGTAAATACTATTTATTTCAATATAAATACGAGTTGAAATCTGAATATTGATTATGCCAATATAAATACTGTTTATTTCAATGTAAATATGAGCTGAAATCTGAATATTAATTATGTCGATGTAAATACTGTTTATTTCAGATCGACAACAATACACATGCTCTAACTGTCCTTTATGAGAATCTAACTTGTACAAAATTGGCGAATATGTCCTACTGATTTGCACCTGCTACACTTACGCGGTCGGGAAAACTCTCCAGTAGATGGTATTCTAGAAGTACTTGGACGTCTAGGACCACGATATTCAATGAGAGGTGACGACAATGTATTGAACGAGCGAATATGATCAAAAAACTTCGTTTGGAAGAGGAAATATAATTTCAGTATACGCAGCTCTCCAGTTTTCAGCAATGTAATAAGGAGAGCACAATGTTCTCGCTGCAAATCCTCGATACATAGCCACCGCAGCTACATGCTCACATGGAAAACTCTCTAACTGAAATTGTTTACAAGTGCATGTTCCATCAGTCAAATCTACCATGGATGTCGTATTACGTGCACATTCCACAGAGAAGCGCGACTTGTCTAGTGGTTCGACATTTAACTTTCTCGCAGCCTCTGCAGCCTTGAAAAGCTTTTCCTCTTGCGCTGGGGCTAGCACGCTTGTGCAATTATGTAATTCCGCACGTCGATCGTGAAATCACTGCTGCAACTTCGTACGAATATTCTCAATCAGTGCGAGAATGGGTAACTCTCGATCCCTCTTGAATAATACATTGAGAGACTTCGCGTTGTTTGACGTTATCATGTTGTATCGACGTCCTGGAAAATATGAGCGCACCCAATGTTCAATCCCCATTATCGCTAGATAGTCCCATGCCGGGAATGATTTGCTTCCTATTTCAACCATGTACATATTACACTCTTCAATACTGTAAGCTTCCGTCACTCTCCTGAACAGTAAAACGATGTCTTTACCCCGATACCTGGTTTTCAAGTTGCCTTGTATATAGTATATGCAATACCCATGATGTGCATCAGGAAAAACTTCAGCAATACCATTTATTATAGATTGTCCCCGATCAGTTACAAATGCAAGGTCATCGACTTTCCCAATTACTTCCCCGAGCTTTGCGAAGAACCAATGCATCGACAGATCATTCTCGTTATCAACTATGTCGAATGCAAGAGGGTAAATTTGGGTGTTGGCATCTTGACATATAGCAATAATCAATTTCCCTTGGTATTTGAATTTCAGAGTTGTACCATCGACTAGAATTAGAGGTCGCATAACATTTCGAAATCTCCGAGTGCATTGTCCAAGAGCCAGGATTAGTTTTTTCCACGTTATGGCAATACCTGGCCAATTTTTTTTTTTAGATCGGTAAATGTAAATATATAGATCAAAAATGTATCATGTACAAATACACCGGGCATCCCCGGGCAAGACAATGTCCATAATCAAATACAAGTACACCGGGCATACCCGGGCGAATCAATGTCCATAAACATAAACAATTACTCCGGGCATACCCGGGCAAAGACAGTAGAAAGCTAATACAAAAGGAATCAAAGCTCCATGGCCAAGGATTCATAAAGAGTCAAGACATCCGGATACAAAGTAAACATGACTTTGTATACGTGGGTCTTGATCCTTCTCACAATGGAATCCAAGTCATATGAGAGGTCTTCAAATAATTTCCTATTTCTCGTTAGCCAAATATAGTACACTGTGGTAGCAAGAGCAACTCTCTTCGCCTTGCTCAGCCACGAAGTCCCCCGAGCCTCCTTTTTTAACCATTTAAGAGCCATAGCAAGTGTCGTCATTGATCTTGTGATGCCAAGCCATCTCCTAATACTCCCCCATAATGAGGATGTGAAAGAGCATTTGAAGAAAAGATGCTCACAAGTCTCTTCAAAACATCCACAAAAGATACACTTGCGATTGATGTCTAAGTAGAGCAATTTGTTTTTGGTTAGGAGCTTTGATTGGGCCCCTAACCAAAGCATAAAAGCATGTTTTGGAGTGATGCACGGTTTCCAAACTTCAGCTCCCCAAGGCTTGAAAGTTCCCTTAGGCCTAAAGAAATTATAGGCAATTTTCGTATTGAATTTATCTTCAGCCAATCTGCCCAGATTTTCATTTGAAAAATCGAAAAACTGCCTACCGAACAAAGCTGTCTGCCTGCCTAAAAGTCTGCTGTAAATCTGCCCACTTCGGCCTCTAAGTTGAGGTTGGACTCCCATGGAATTAGGGCCAAAAACATCACTCGGAGTTGAGGAATTATCCAGATTTAAATCTCCATGACCGTTCATCTCCACAGAATAAGAATTCTGCCCGGCTCCCCCTCTAAGAACCAGAAAATCCCGAATTTCCAGCAGTTTTTTGAACAAAGGTGAGTGGTCTTTCCTCTTCGGGACATCCCAAATGCTATTCCCCTTAAGGTAAACATGGTGAATCCACCTAATCCAAAGGGTCTCCTTATTTGTATGAATGTTCCATAGGGATTTAGCTAAAAGTGCTAAATTCCAACTCTTAAGGTCTTTCAATCCAAGACCCCCTTCTTCCTTCGGTAGGCAAATATCCTTCCATGCAACAAGTGGCTTTTTAGTTCCCCAAAGAAAGGTACGACAAAGGCTAACAAATCTAGAAATAATTGTAGTCGGTATGGGAAAAATAGAGAGCCAAAAGCATTCCACTCCTTGAAGCACCGCCCTAATAAGTTCAACATTGCCGGCATAAGAAAGGGGGGAGCAATTCCAACCACCAATAGAACCCACAATTTTATCCAAGAAAGGAGCGTAAGAGCTCACTTTAAGCTTTACCGCGGCAAGAGGGATACCCAAATAACGAAAAGGCATAGACCCCTTCGGAAAATCTGAAATTTCCATGATTCTTTGTAGCTCATATCCATAAATTCCAGCAGTATAGATGCTGGATTTCAGAAAATTAATACTCAAACCCGAAGAGAGACCAAACCTTTGAAGGCAATTCATGATAATTTGAACCGACATAATATCACCCCTAGCAAAAAGTATCAAGTCATCGGCAAAAGCCAAGTGTGTCAACTTAATGGCTCCACACTTAGGGTGGTAATTGAAATCACTATCCAAAGTAGCATCCTTCATCATTCGAGAAAAATATTCAAGGCAAAGTACGAATAGGAATGGGGAGAGTGGATCACCTTGCCTAAGACCCTTTCCACCTTTGAAGAAGCCATACATATTCCCACTCAAGGCAACGGAGTATGTCGGAGTGGTAACACGCTCCATAATCCATGTAATAAATGTCGGTGGAAACTTCAATCCTTCAAGGACACCATGAAGAAAATCCCAACTAATGGAGTCATAGGCTTTCCTCAAGTCAATTTTAAGAATACATCTCGGGGCAACTCTCTTCCTATTATATTGCCTCATAAGTTCTTGAGCAAGATGTATATTCTCCGTCATACTTCTTCCTTTAATAAAGGCGGCTTGAGCATGGTCTACAATATCTCCCAAAATAGGCCTCAACCTCGATGCAAGGATTTTTGCAATCACCTTATATGTGACATTACAACAAGAAATCGGTCTATAGTCCCCCACACAAGGTGCATGAGTAGATTTTGGCACCAAAGCAATAACCGCATGGTTCATTTGCTTGAGAATAGATCCCGATGAGAAGAATTCCAAAATAGCATCCACAAAATCCCGTTCAATACACCCCCAAGCATTCTTGAAGAAACATGAAGTGTACCCATCCGGTCCGGGAGATTTATCATCTCCAATCCCAAAAAGAGCCTCCTTTATTTCATCGAAGGAGATATCCCGAATCAAATCATTCCCTTGTTCCGAAGATACCAAAGGACCATTTGCAAGGATGTTGACATCAATAGGCCGAACAGCCTCTTTTTTCCCCAGCAAGTTGGTGTAAAAATTCACAAATTCGGTGGCCACTTCCTCTTGTGATGTAAAATAACTCCCGTCAGCCTTAAGAATTGAAGCAACGAAATTTCTCCTTGAGTTCCTTTTGACAATGGAGTGAAAGAATTTAGTACATTTGTCACTGTCCTTGAGGAAAATACATTTAGCCTTTTGGTAGTAAAAACTACGTTCGGCTTCACACAATGCAACGGTCTTTTTCCTCATATTAGCCACCAAATTCTGAAAAACAGCATTAGTAGGCTGATTTTGTAGTTGTAATTGGGCAGCAAGTAACTCAGATTTTGCCTTTGAAGCTCTAGTAGAAATGTGCCCAAAATGTTTGGAATTAAGAACTTTCAAAGCCCCCTTCAATTTGCTCAACTTCTTGCAAAGAATGAACTGTTTATTCCCTCGGAAGTGAGAATTCCAGCAATCAATAACCAAGTCATTAAAATCCACATGCTTGGTCCACATGTTAAAAAACTTAAAGGGACTTTTTCCACTTCCCCCACTATCAAGAAAAGATACAATGCACGGGGAATGATTGGATAGACATCCGGAAGGGAGGAAATTTGCTTCCACAACAACCCCTTTTTGTATCCACACATCATTCACTATAGCCCTGTCAATTTTACTCCACCTCGTCCCATTCGTCCATGTGTAAAAACAACCAATAGACCGGACATCCAAGAGACCCACATTGAGGCAACAAGATGCGAGATCTTTGATTTCGTACGGGGTCACATCCGACCCATTGCATCTCTCATCGAACTTGAGCACATTATTGAAATCTCCCACAATCAACCAAGGTAAAGAAACATTTTCATTAAGCTCCATTACGGTATTCCAAAGGGGTCTTCGGTTTACCATGGTATGAAACCCATATACAAAACTAACAAGAAAATCAAGAGAAGTTACCTTGCATGTAGCTTTGCAATGTATGATTTGTGGATGAACCTCCATCACATCCAAAATGACTTTGGATGGATTCCACAAAATCAATATACGTCCACCTTTATGAGTACCAAAGTTGTTTGCATGCAAAAAGCCATTGAACTTGTTCCTCAAAATTCTCATCAACTTACGGTCGTCCACCTTCGTTTCCAAAATAGCCATGACATCAATGCTATGGAGCTTTAGGAACTCCCGAATCCCATTTTGTTTGAGGGGTGGATTCATACCCCTAATGTTCCAAGATGCTATCTTCATGATGAAGAAGCAAGGGAGAAGCCCCTCTTCTTAACGACTTTAGAGACCGGTTTATGTTGCTCATCACTCTTGTACTTGGGTTTTTCATTACATGCTTTACTCGAATCTGCCTGGGGAAGGTTTAAAGGTAAATCTGCCCCATTGTTTGATGCCCCAACGTGGCCAGATTTTTTTCCTTCAGCAAGCCGTTTTTTCTTGGCAACCACCTTCTCAAATGGCGCCTCAATCTGTCCCAGATCATCCCCCATTTGGTCATCCACGCAGTCCCCAGTAACTTGTCCAGAAATCTGCTCGTTTGGGCCAGAATCTGCCCGGAATTTTGCTCATTTTGGACCAGATTCTGCCCAGATTTTTTCACAGAATTCTGGCCGTTTTTTTCAAGTAAAGGCGTTGAGACATTTTTTTCAGTTCGTATGTTCACACCCACACCCATATCAATACTTTTCTGACCATTTGATGCTGATTTACCAGCCTGCACACTTTTACTTTGAGTTGAAGCAGCAACTTTCCCTTTTCCTTTTACCCCATCATTTTTATTGTTATTGCACCCGGAAGTGGAATGACCGAACACTTTACATGAGCCACAAAACTTAGGTTCATGTTCATAAACAATTTCTTGCTCCCTCATAACACCATTTGGAAGTCTAATGTTTACCTTCCGAATAAGCTCAATGGATGCATCTACTTCCACAAGCGCTCTAGCAAAAGAGAGCCGACCTCTTGTAGCCGTAACCTTGTCCATGGAGATAGGTTTCCCCACCTTAGAAACAATTTTTCCTAAGGCATTCGAGTTCCAAAACTCCAAAGGTAGACCCGGTATATTAATCCATACCGGCATGGTACTAACATCCTTATCATTGAAGTCAAAATAACGTGACATACTTTTAATCATGAGTGGTCTACCATAGACCAAGTATGGCCCTCCTTGCAACACACTAAGTCTTTCGCTATCGGTTTCAAACTTGAACACTAACCATCCACTAGCATGAACGTAGTATTTATAGTTAACTCCCCAAGAACCACAAAGTTTAAGTAAAGCCACCTTACCCGGGAACCTCCCGGCGAAGTATCCAACCAATCCAAATCCCCAAGAATTTTCAATATTATCCTCATCACACTCCTCCAAAACAACCTCATCCAATTGATTAAGGAAAGGTTTGAGCATGATGTTCTCATCCA